TTGAAATTAATAAATAGAATACAGCGAATCAAGCCGAAAGTGCTTATAAATAAAACCGTTTTAAAACTTTACGAATAATAATATATGTATAAGAAATAAATAAATTACAGCGATTTTAAACCGAGAGATCTTATAAATTACATAAAACATCTAAGACATGTTGACGAAATAAAAAAAAGAAAAAAAAAGAATGAAATAGAAATAAACAATTAGAACGAGTTAACCCAAGAGGGCTTAAAAAAAAAAGAAAAAAAAGAAGAAAAATATATATATATATCATAATGAAACGTTTAAAACATGTAAACGAGTAAAAAAAAAAAAAAATAATAATAATCTCGTTTATGCGATTAAATTGGATAAATACAGCGAATTAAACCGAGGATGCTAATAAAAATCTTAATGACACGTTTAAAACATGTTGACGAGTAAAAATCCTAATCTATTAATTATAAAATTAAATATATGCTTTTTAGAAACGAAACAACTTAATATCAACGATATTCACTTATCCCAAAATGTTACAGTCAGAACTGGCAGATATTGGCGAGTCTAATCAGTAAAAACGCTCCTGACACTAGTTGACTCAAGTTTTGAAGGAAGATTACACGGACTTAGTATGTCGATAAACTACATCCGCCTGCAAGGCCTCTGATCGGGGAGTTTTGAGCAGCGTGGAATCACCTTTTAATTGGTGTTGTTCCCAGGTCCACCATGAACCGGGTTGGTAGCACCTGTTAGGGTCCCAGCGGCGGGCAGATAGTGAATCGTCACACTAGAGTCAAAATACTATGTAAATATAAATATACATTTTCATAGTAAAAATACTAACAATACTTTTTTCTTAGTAAAATAATTATCACTAAAAAATAAATATATATTACCAGCAATACATTTTTGTAAAAATTAAAATGACTACTGCTCCCAAGAAAATAAAAATTGGTCATTAAATGACCCATAAGATGTTGATATACCGCTAAACAAGCATAATCATACGCATGCTTGCTTGCCATCCCTCTCCATCCATGCATGCATTGTCTTTATGGTTACTACAAAATATCCCAATTACCCCTACGTTTATTTCTCTGTACATATCAACATGTAAAGGCGGTAAAAGTAAATAAATAACAGAATCTCTTGTAAAACGAACCTTTGTGGGTGATAGACAGAAAGCTTGCAGAACATTAGCTTCCAAGATAAAATAAGAATAGGTTTGTTTTTTATGTGGTTATCTGAGAAAGTATATTTGGCCCAGAATAGCCTGGCGGTTTCACTTAAGATCAAATAACGAATAATCTCAGCAGAACTGCAGCAATTGCTTTGATTCTTGAGGACGTAAGTGATTATGGCTTCCCACGGATTCCTTTTCTTTACTATCTATGAATTACCACGACCATATGGAACGTTGTAAGGTTTCCTTCAGCACAGTTTGATATATTGAGTATTCTTTCCCTTAGACTGGGTGCCACCCAAGAGGGAGTCGAGTCTACTCTTGCTCTTTACCATACACCAAAAAAGAAAAAAAAATGAACGTAGCAGATCCTACACGAATTTGAACACGGTTCGCTGATTCTATTTTCTCCATGCGTAACCGTGACGCTACCATCATTAAATATTTTCATTGGTTTTAACGCTTACAGAGAACCGTACCAAATAACACAAATCTCATCATCTGGGGATTTTCAACATCTGCAACAACTAAAATTAATAACATACTTTATATACTTGCGTATCATGTGACTTTTGAAGACCTAATTACTAAACGAATTTTAAGGGTGTTGCATCATACACGATATATAAATAGTATTTACTGCGAACCCTGGCTACAATGTTGAGCAAACTACCGGGTGTAACAACAAGATTGTCTAAACTATGAAACAGCAAAATTGTCCAATTGTTAGATTAAGTTCTGAACCATTGTATCTTAGAAATGATTAAATATATCTTACTGGAATTCTCCGAGGTTTTTATAATACTATTGGATTCTACTTTGAACAATAAACTGAATAATTCAAATCATTTTTGGTTCAACAACAACAACAACAACAACAATAATAATAATAATAATAATAATAATAATAATAATAATAATGTAGTTTGTTTAAATATTAAATAGGTTTCAAATATTGATAGACCACTGATCGGGAGATTGGAGGTTCTGAGTAGCGTGGAACCGCGACTTAATTGCTGTTTTTCTCAGATTAATTTTGACCCAGAGTCGTAGCACCTGTCAGGGTCCCAGCTATGAGAAAATTGGAAACACCTAAACAAAAATCAACAGTAAATTTTTATGATAAACATATTTTTATAGTAAAATTGCCAGAAATAAATTTTTATAGCAAAACGACAAACCCTATACAACACTAAGAACTTATAACAGTATATTTTTCTAGTGAAATGCACTTATAAAAATTACCAAAGATACGTTTTATCATTTATAAACTAGATTATATAAAAAATATACGTTTACCCTGAAAGTATAAAATATCTACAGTTGGAGGCATAAGACTGCGTTCTAAATATTTAGATTTCGGCAGTAAATACCCAGAGAGTTTGATATGGCGCAAAACAAAAGCAACCAAACAACCAACAAATCAAATGTTGATTTTTAGTCAGGTAAACACTAGCAAGATTGGCGCAAAGGAATCTTCCTTTCTAAATTTGTCCCATTTAATTGCAAAACAAGACTGAAAACATGCTGAACTGAAAGTGAAAGCCGTACATTCATTCAAAAGAGAGCGTTGCTCCTAGATGTCAATAAGAAGTGGGTACATTAATTTTTTGAAGAAACTTCCCGACCTTCAACGAGTTTATTAAAACACCACGTTTATTAATTTAAAACTTTTCGACCATTCAAATGATTTTTCCGACATCAACATTTTAGGCTATAATCTTAACCAAACCACGTCCCCATTATTACATATTGGGAAAATACAGTCCCACCTAATTATTAAAACTCACCTTTTGTATTAGACACCTAACTGTGTATATATATATATATATATATATATATATATATATATATATTTAAAATGATTTACTTAATTCAGATTTTCTTCTCTCTTATGTTTTTCTTCCTTAATTTTTCTTTCAGTCAACATTCTCTTTCTGCCTTTTCTTTCTTTAAGTCTTTCTGTCTCTTTCCTTCCGTCTGATTTATTTTTGAAGTCTTTCTACCTCGTTTCTTTCTTTAAGTCTTTCCGTTTCATTTCTTTCTTTAAGTCTTTCCATCTATTTTATTTACTTAAGTCTTTCCATCTATTTTCTTTCTTAAAGAGTTAAAGAAGGAAAGAGACGGAAAGACTTAGTCTCTTTCCTTCTTTAACTCTTTCCATCCATTTTCTGTCGTTAAATCTTTCCTTAAGTCTTTGCGTCTCTTTTCTTTATTTGAGTCTTTCCGTTTCTTTTCTTTCTTTAAGTCTTTCCATCTAATTTCTGTCTTTAAATCTTTCTGCCCCTTTTCTTTCTTTAACTCTCTCCGTCTGTATTATTTTTGAAGTTTTTCCGCCTCGTTTCTTTCTTTAAGTCTTTCCGTCCCTTTTCTTAATTTAACTAAAATTAACAGTCTATTTTCTTTCTTTAAGACTTTCTATTTTCTTTCTTTAAATCTTTCTACCCCTTTTCTTTCTCTATCTCTTTCTGCCTCGTTTCTTTTTTTTAAGTATTTCCGTCTCATTTCTTTCTTCAAGTATTTCCGTCTATTTTCTTTTTTTTTAAGTCTTTCTGCCTCTTTTTTTTATATGATTCTTTCCATCTATTTTTTTCTTTTAAATCTTTCATCTATTTTCTGCCTCGTTTCTTTTTTTTTTAAGTATTTCTCATTTCTTTCTTCAAGTATTTCCGTCTATTTTCTTTTTAAGTCTTTCTGCCTCTTTTTTTATGATTCTTTCCATCTATTTTCTTTCTTTAAATCTTTCTACCCCTTTTCTTTCTCTATCTCTTTCTGCCTCGTTTCTTTTTTTTAAGTATTTCCGTCTCATTTCTTTCTTCAAGTATTTCCGTCTATTTTCTTTTTTAAGTCTTTCTGCCTCTTTTTTTTTATATGATTCTTTCCATCTATTTTCTTTCTTTAATTCTTTCTGCCCTTTTCTTTCTCTATCTCTTTCTGCCTCGTTTCTTTTTTTTTTAAGTATTTCCGTCTCATTTCTTTCTTCAAATTTTCCGTCTATTTTCTTTTTTAAGTCTTTCTGCCTCTTTTTTTTATATGATTCTTTCCATCTATTTTTCTTTTTTAAATCTTTCTACCCCTTTTCTTTCTCTATCTCTTTTTTTCCTTTTTTTAAATATTTCCGTCTCATTTCTTTCTTCCATCTATTTTCTTTTTTAAGTCTTTTCTGCCTTTTTTTTTTATATGATTCTTTCCATCTATTTTCTTTCTTTAATTCTTTCTACCCCTTTTCTTTTCTCTATCTCTTTCTGCCTTTTCTTTTTTTAAGTATTTCCGTCTCATTTCTTTCTTCAAGTATTTCCGTCTATTTTCTTTTTTAAGTCTTTCTGCCTCTTTTTTTTTATATGATTCTTTCCATCTATTTTCTTTCTTTAAATCTTTCTACCCCTTTTCTTTCTCTATCTCTTTCTGCCTCGTTTCTTTTTTTAAGTATTTCCGTCTCATTTCTTTCTTCAAGTATTTCCGTCTATTTTCTTTTTTAAGTCTTTCTGCCTCTTTTTTTTTATATGATTCTTTCCATCTATTTTCTTTCTTTAATTCTTTCTGCCTCTTTTCTTTCTCTATCTCTTTCTGCCTCGTTTCTTTTTTTTAAGTATTTCCGTCTCATTTCTTTCTTCAAGTATTTCCGTCTATTTTCTTTTTTAAGTCTTTCTGCCTCTTTTTTTTTATATGATTCTTTCCATCTATTTTCTTTCTTTAATTCTTTCTACCCCTTTTCTTTCTCTATCTCTTTCTGCCTCGTTTCTTTTTTTTAAGTATTTCCGTCTCATTTCTTTCTTCAAGTATTTCCGTCTATTTTTCTTTTTTTTTAAGTCTTTCTGCCTCTTTTTTTTATATGATTCTTTCCATCTATTTTCTTTCTTTAATTCTTTTTTGCCCTTTTCTTTCTCTATCTCTTTCTGCCTCGTTTCTTTTTTTTAAGTATTTCCGTCTCATTTCTTTCTTCAAGTATTTCCGTCTATTTTCTTTTTTAAGTCTTTCTGCCTCTTTTTTTTTATATGATTCTTTCCATCTATTTTCTTTCTTTAATTCTTTCTGCCTCTTTTATTTCTTTAATTATTTCGGTCTATTTTTTTTCTTTAAGCCTATCCATGTCCATTATTTCTTTAAATCTTTCTGCCTCTTTTCTTTCCGTCGGATTTATTTTTGAAGAATTTTTGCCACGTTTCTTTCTTTAAGTCTTTCTAACACGTTTCTTTCTTTAAGTATTTCCCTCTGTTTTCTTTCTTTAAGTCTTTCCGTCTCTTTTCTTTCTTTGCGTCTATTTTCTTTCTTTAAGTCTTTCCACTTATTTTCTTTCTTTAAGTCTTTCTGCCTCTTTTCTTTCTGTAAGTATTTTTTAAGTATTTTTGCCACGTTTCTTTCTTTAAGTCTTTCCGTCTCTTTTCTTTATTTAAGTCTTTCTATCTATTTTCTTTCTTTAGTCTTTCCATATCTTTTCTTTCTTTAAGTATTTCCAACTATTTTCTTTCTTTAAGTCTTTCTGCTTCTTTTCTTTCTTCAAGTATTTACGTCTCATTTCTTTCTTTGAGTCTTTCCATCTATTTTCTTTCTGTATGTTTTTTCATCTATTTTCTTTCTTTAAGTCTTTCTCCGTCTTTTCTTTCTTTAAGTCTTTCCGCCACGTTTCTTTCTTTAAGTCTTTCTGCCTCGTTTCTTTCTTTAAGTCTTTCTGCCTCGTTTCTTTCTTAAATCTTTCCGTCTATTTTTTTCCTTTAAGTCTTTTCGTCTCTTTTCTTTCTTTAAGTCTTTCCATCTATTTTCTTTCTGTAAGTCTGTCTGCCTCGTTTCTTTCTTTAAGTCTTTCCGTCTTTTTTCTTTCTTTAAAACCTTCTGCCTCGTTTCTTTCTATAAGTCTTTCCATCTGTTTTTTTCTTTAAGTATTTCCCCCTCTTTTCTTTCTTCAAGTATTTACGTCTCTTTTCTTTCTTTAAGTCGTTCTGCCTCTTTTCTTTATTTAAGTTTTTTCCATCTCTTTTCTTTCTTTGAGTCTTTCCATATATCTTCTTTCTTTAAATCTTTCCATCTATTTTCTTTCTTTAAGGTCTTTCTGCCTCTTCTCTTTCCTTAAGTATTTCCGTCTTTTTTTCTTTCTTTAAGTCATTCCATGTATTTTCTTTCTTTAAGTCTTTCTGTCCCGTTTCTTTATTTAAGTCTTTACGTCTCTTTTCTTTATTTAAGTCTTTCTATCTATTTTCTTTCTTTAAATCTTTCCATCTATTTTCTTTCTTTAAGTCTTTCCACCTCGTTTCTTTCTTTAAGTCTTTCCGTGTTTTTTCTTTCTTTAAGTCTTTCCATCTATTTTCTTTCTTTAAGTCTTTCTTCCTCGTTTCTTTCTTTAAATCTTTCCGTCTATTTTCTTTCTTTAAATCTTTCTGCCTCTTTTCTTTCCGTCGGATTTATTTTTGAAGTATTTTTGCCTCGTTTCTTTCTTTAAGTCTTTCTGACTCGTTTCTTTCTTCAAGTATTTCCGTCCCTTTTCTTTCTTTAAGTCCTTCCATCTATTTTCTCTCTTAAATCTTTCCATCTATTTCCTTTCTTTAAATCTTTCTGACTCTTTTCTTTCTTTAACTCTCTCCGTCTGTATTATTTTTGAAGTTTTTTCGCCTCGTTTCTTTCTTTAAGTCTTTCCGTCCCTTTTCTTAATTTAACTCTTACAGTCTATTTTCTTTCTTTAAATCTTTCTACCCCTTTTCTTTCTTTATGTCTTTCCGCCTGTTTTATTCTTGAAGTCTTTCCGTCTCTTTATTTTCTTTAAGTCTCTCCGTCCCTTTTCTTTCTTTAAATCTTTCCATCTCTTTCCTTTTGTTTTTCGTTCGTCATTTCACTGTTTCCATTCGTACTTTAGTTACTATCTTGCATCTTTGAACACAAACAGAAATGAGAGAAATGTAGAACAGACGACGAGAAAGCGCGAATCTTTGATACGCGTGTGTGTCTGCCTGCTTTGAAAATCTCGACATCTTCTCATTTAAAATAAGCCCGACCACCAAACATTGGAAACACTATGCTGAGAATATCATGGGTAACACATGTGAACGATGCTGAAAGGAACAAAAAGTACACTTATACATGCCAACAGAAAGTGAGAGTTTAAATTTCTAGGATATATAATAAGGAAAGAGGCATTGGAATATTTGATGCTCATAAGGCATATTGAAGTCAGTGAGAGACAGATGAAAACAACACACAAGTTACCTAGCGAACCTCTGTAAATGGACAGCTGAACAGATTTAATGTCATTAGGAAGAGACAGTTGAAATCTCGAGGACACATAATGAGGAAAGAGGGCTTGGTATATTTGACACTCACAAGGCATACTGATGTCACTGAGCGACAGAAGAAACAATCCAGAACCTACTTAGTGAGCCTCTGTACATGGATGGCAGAACAGGTTCAATGATATCAAGATGAAACAGTTGAAATCTCGAGTATTCATTATGAGGAACGAGGGCTTAGAATATTTGATACTCACAAGCTTTACTGAAGTCACTGAGGGACAGAGGAAAACAACGCATAACCTACCTAGTGAGTCTCTGTAAATGCATAGCAGGACAGGTTTAATGACACCAGGAAGAGATAGTCGAAATCTCGAAGATGCATAATGAGGAAAGAGGGCTTGGTATATTTGACACTCACAGGGCATACTGATGTCACTGAGCGAGAGAAGAAACAATCCAGAACTTACCTAGTGAGCCTCTGTATATGGATGGCAGAACAGGTTCAATGACATCAAGAAGAAACAGTTGAAATCTCGAGTATACATTATGAGGAAAGAGGGCTTAGAATATTTGATACTCACAAGGTATACTGAAGTCACTGATGGACAGAGGAAAACAACGCATAACCTACCTAGCGAGCCTCTGTGAATGCATGGCAGAACAGGTTCAATAACACCAGGAAGAGACATTTGAAATCTCGAGTCCACATAATGATAAAAGATAGCTTGGGATATTTGATAGTTACAAGGTATATTGAAGTCACTGTGGGACAGAAGGAATATCCATGCAGGAATTTTCTAGGGAGCTTAAGTAAATGCATGGCAGAACAGGGTTTAGAAGAGATAACAAAAACAAAATATATAAAGAGATAAAAAAGGACAGAAAATTGTGGAGAGCTATAATCGGCAATGTCCTGAACGGCCACGGCACAAAAAAGAAAAAAAAGAAGGAAAAAAAGATATACGTTACTATCTAAAACACGAGACAGATACATCTTTGTTTCTTTCTTTCTTCTCTTTCTTTTTCACTTTTGTTTTGTGCTTTTCTCTATGACTTTCCTTTCCTCCTCTCCTGACCTCGCATTGTTTACTTTGCTCAGTAACAAAAGCTACATTTTTTATTTTTCACTTTTTTCTTGTTTTTATTACACCATTAGTTCTACATATTCCCTTCATATTTCTTCCCACTTTTGTTAGCTATTCTTTCTTCAAAAGTCCATTTTCTTTCATTCACAATAACTTCCTGACTATTCAGTCTTGTTTATCGATTTATCATGTTATCGCTTCGTATAAAAACAACAGACACACAAGCGTACCCCTTTCTTCAATAACAAAAAGTCCCATTTTCAACAAATGCAACTGCTTACATTATTCGCCCTAACGTCTTTTGGTCATAATATGCTTAACATCACTGAGGCGCATGCGTCGGAAATAATCGCCCATCAACAGATTCTGGCTATTTGAATCTACCTTGACGACACGCATTTTCTCTCTTGGACATGTCCTGACAAGTATGGTGGAAATAGATTTGTTTTTATTTCCAGTAGGGAAGATAGTCACGTCCACCTTATATCCAACATCATCTGGAAAATAAAAAGCATAAGAACAAGCGAGCAAAGAAAGAAAGAAAGAAAGAAAGAAAGAAAGAAAGAAAGAATTAAATTGACTTAGTACCATGCAAGGAAAAAATGGAGGAAGGAGAACAATGTAAAAATTGGGATTTTGAACGAAGTAGGAAAAGAATGAAAAATTGGGTTGGGTTAAGAAATGAAGAAAGCAATGAAAATAAATTTGAGATTCGCAGGAAGAGGGAGCAGAATGAAAAAAGGTGAGGTTCGAAAGAAAGAAGAAAATGAAAAAATTGGAGTTTTGAAGAAAAGCTGAAAAACAATAAGCAATAGGGATTTGAATGAAGAAGGAAAACAATAAAAAATGTGTGGCTTAGAGGAAAAGACTGAAAATGGGGAATCTGAAGGAATGAGTAACAGAATGAAAAACTGAATTTTGAAGGAATGAAGAAAAGAAATGTAAGTGTGTAGCTTGTAGGAAGGAGGACATGAATGAAAAAAAGGAAGTTTCAAAGAAGGAGAAAAAGAATTAAAATGTGACGTATGTAGTAAAGAGGACAAGAAGAAAAAATGGGCGGGTTGAAAAAAGGGGAGAAATAAAAAAGGGCTTTGAAAGAGGGAGATAATGAAAAATATGAGGTTTTAAAAGAGGAGAAAATGAATGAAAAATAGAGGTTCGAATGAATGAAGAAAAGAATTAAGAATGTCAGATTGGAAGGAAGGAGGAAAGGAATGTAAAATGTGAGGTATGAAAGTTGAAGAAAAAGAATGAGGAATGGGAGGGTTGAAGAAACGAAGAAAAAGAAAAGAAAAAATGTAAGGTTTAAAGAAAGAATGAAAAAATGGGAACTATGAAGATAGTGCTAAAGAATGAAAAAAGAATATTTGAAGGAAGAAGGAAAAGAATGAAAAAATGTGAAGTATGAAGGAAAGAAGAAAAGAATGAAAAATGGGATTTTTTAAGGACGGAGAAAAAGAATGAAAATGTTTACAGGACTCAAGAAAATAAAACGTCAGGTTTGAAGGCTGGAGAAAAAAAATGAAAAAATGGAGGTTTGAAGGAATGGAGAAAAGAATAAAAAGGTCACCTTTGCATGAAGGAGGAACAGAATGAAAAATGTGAAGTATGTAGGGAAGAGGAAAAGAATGAAAACGGCAGTTTTAAATGGAGGAGGAAAAGAATGAAAATATTTGCAGGAATGAAGAAAACAAAAAATGGCAGGTTTAAAGGAAAGAGGAAAACAATTAAAATTGTCTGGTTTGAAGGAAGGATGAAAAGAATGATATATCAAGTTTGAAGGAAAACGGTAAAGAATGATACAATCTGAGGTATAGAGGAAAGTGGAAAAGAATGAAAACTGGGCAGTTTGAAGATAGGAGTTAAAGAATGCAGTAGGGAGGGTTGAAGGAAGGAGAAAAAGCATTTGAAATGCCTAGTTTCTATGACCGAAGAATAGAATGAAAAAATGTGAGGTACAAATGAATAGGGAAAGAATGAAAAATGAGAGCTTTGACGGAAGGAGGAAAAGAATAGAAAATTTGATGATTGAAGGCAGGAGGAAAAAAAAGAAAAATGGGAGGATTGAAGCAAGGAGGGAAAGAATGAAAATAGCGAGGTTTGAAGAAGGCAGGAAACAATGAAAAACAGTGGTTTGAACGAAGGAAGAAAAGTAAGGAAAATAGAGGTTTGAAGAGAGCGGCGACAAATGAAAAAGGGAGCTTTTAAGTAGCGAAGAAAATATTTCAAATGGGAATGCCGAAGGAAGGAGGAACAGAATGAAGAAAACAATGAAAAAAATGGAGGTGTGAAGAAAAATGAAAAAGAATGAAAATGTGACGTATGTAGTAAAGAGGACAAGAAGAAAAAATGGTCGGGTTGAAAGAAGGGGAGAAATGAAAAAGGGGGCTTTGAAAGAGGGAGATAAATAATGAAAAATATGGGGTTTAAAAAGAGGAGAAAATGAATGAAAAATAGAGGTTCGAATGAATGAAGAAAAGAATTAAAAATGTCAGATTGGAAGGAAGGAGGAAAAGATTTTTTTTTTTTTAAAAATGTGATGTTTGAAGGAATGAAGAATAAACACACATGTGAGAGGGGAAAAAAATACGTTTATTCGTGATTGCATCAGAAATTTTATCGCGCCCAGACACAATTATATTGAGTGTCGATTAGTTGTCCTACGGTCATTGTCTGTAATGGTCCTTACTCCAAGGGAAAGTACGAAAATTGTAACGCTGCACAAACACACTGGCTAGCGTTACCAGTGAGCAAAATAAAGTAGA